CGAATATTTGATCTCAGAAACTTAATGTCATGTGTTCAAAATTGCAATTACATGAAAAATTGATTTACGAAACTTACGCAAAATTGCAGTAATTTTACATCCCTATTCACACTGCACCAATTATTGTACGTAGACTATAATGACAGCAATTAACAATTAAAATATGTTATACACCGCATAAACTCGGAATAATGCACATGGTGTAGTTTCAAATTATGGCCTAAATTAAGCTTAATTCTGGCCAAAATTCTAAAATAACGCCCTAGGCATTATTCTGAGTTTATGCGGTAAGTAAATATGCATAAGTAAATATGCATAAGTAAATATGCATAAGTAAATTAGTAATGCTTACGTAAACATACAAAATATACACGTGAAATTTTTGCAAGGTAAAGTTTATAATTATTAAAATTAAACACAAATTTTGTACCTTAGATGCATCTAGGGATTCACATGAACTAGACTATCCATCTGGACTATCCATGGAGCATTCATGGATTGATGCCGCGGATTAAAAGCTATGGATATTCCATATTTAATTTGATTGACCAAAAATTATATTTATTCTTAGCATTGACGTCAACATTACTAACACGAGCTTATTTAATAAATAATCTTTTTACAGTTTATCCATGGATTGTAACACGACGTTCATTTAATGCTGGTCATCTGATAGTCATCTGGGGTGAATCAGTTGCAATTCAATACAAGTGTTAATCTGAGGCACAACATACATAAACGTAAAATTGCAATTAAAAACCTTATTATACGGTTATTATAGTTATTATAGTAGTGTGTTATACGTATATTAAATTTTAATTAATCAGCCGTTACTTTCTGATCTGCGTACGTCGTACGTTACTTACCAGTTACAGTACGTACGTACGTGCGAATTATTATCGTAATGAAAAAAAGAATTTGTAATTCTTAACGTTACATTAATGTTATTAAGATCATTAAGATCATTATCAATTTATCAAAAATTGTATTCACGTAGGTATATATGCATTTTTTGCATTTATGAGTATGTGATTTTTTTTTATTTGTGAAATAGTTTTTAGAAGGGTTGTTATGAATATTAATTACAAATGTAAGAAACTAATATATATATAAAATATATATATATATGATTTATATATATAATATATATATAAGATTTATATATAATTTTTTTTTACAATAATAGAAAAAATAAATTTTTTCTATAGTCTTTTTAATAATAGTTTATAAGTTTCAATTTCTTGAGATAAATCATCATCAGAAGATTTTTCATAAGATCTTTTTAAATGATTTTCACCATTAACAAGTACAACATCAATACGGCCTTCATCATCACTAACCGTATAATTTGAAGGTATATCTATTGTATTTGTAGTAGAATTAAGTGGAGCACGTGTATTACTTGTATTACTTATATTAGTTTGATTACTTCGAGAACTACCTATTAAGGGATCAGTTGAAGTTGTAGAATTAAAACAATGAGATAATAAATCTAATGAGGGATATTGAAGAGAATCTTTTAAATGAACAGGTTCAGGAGGAATTAAATCAATATCTTGATTATCATTTTGATTATCAAGATTTATATCAAGCTTATCTGGATCATTCTTTCCATAAAAAGTAGAAAAATTATGCTTATTGCCAACAAATGAAGTCCCCGGTGATAAAAGTTCAAGTGAAATTAATCGAGATGAACTTCTTGGAGCCGTGAAAAGTTTAATCAATAACATATATCTTAGCCATTCTAAAAGCGAGGGTTGTAAATTATTATTGACATTATTATTGTAATTATTGTGATTATTGTTATTAAGAATATTATTATTGTTGTTGTTATTGTTGTTATTAAGAATATTATTATTGTTGTTGTTATTGTTGTT